CTGAGGAAGCAATGCATGCTTCCATCTGAAACAGATCTGTTACTTAGGTCATAGAAACATCAGGAGAGACTGCCGCACAGGAAATCATACAGTCAAAGAAAGCACTTTGAGAACAAGAGTTAGCTTTAAAAATCTCCCAGGCCCAATGAGGGTACCCGCTTAAAATACCTGCTGATTTCCGAGAGCACAGCGTAGCCCCAAGCAAGAAGTGTCCAGTTGTAATATAGGGTCTGTAACCCAGAAAACAGTTAAGGACCACTGCCATAACCTAAAATTTGTAATTCACTTCATTGTACTCACAGCTCTCTGCCCTTCTCAGCACCTGTCATCATAGAGCCTCTTCTCTCCAGTTGCCTCAGTGAGCTCGTTCCTTCTGCAGCTGCTGCCACTGCTTTCCCCACAGCCAGCTAGAACTTACTCTGGATTCAGAGGGACTCTGATCTCAGGCAGGAAGTAATTCAGCTTCCTCAGCACTCACATTCAGCTGTCGTTTCCCAAACTGACCTGAGATGTGGTTTGCCAGGGTTTCTTGCTGGTTCAGCCCAGCTGATGATTACCCAGCATCTTGGGGCCTTTCCTGGACAGTTGTGTGTGTGCTCCATGATCAAAAATTCCCTTATTCCCTGGCATGGTTGCAACTGGCCTGCTGTAGGCTGCATGCCCATCTCCATGGAATTCCTAATTTTCCACTACTAGTTCCTATTCTCCTTTTTGCAAACCCTGCTACTTCATCTTGGGCTTCAGTAATAATAATGATGATGCTAATAATAACAATCGCAAGCACACGGTGCTAACATATGCTGGGCAATGTACTAAATGTTCTATGTGCTCTGCCTCATTTCTTCCTGACAACTGCTTTACATGATAAACATTTTTAGCAGAACCTTCCATTTAATGAGAGCTATGCTTTATTGAGCAACCGCTGCATGCCAGCCATTTGCTCGGCTGTGCTATAATATATGTAACTGCCACAAACATATAAGGTGGGTATTTTTATACCCATTTTATAAAAGAGGCCTCTGAGAAAGACACTAAATGGCTAAGTTTACGCAGATGGTAATCTGTGATTAAATCTCAGGGTGTACACTCCTGTTACTAGAGTTATGAAAGCCGTCCTGTTCCAGAGACCCCTGCCCCACACCCCCATCAGAACTAGGACCCCGGTCCACAAGTCCGGTCTAAACCCTGGCACTATCCTATTGAACTGTTACTACATGGGGTTATTCATGTACTGAGTGTGTCTTACGGTACTTGCGTATAGATTGTATGTGAACTAGGGACTCAAGATTGGAAAAGTACGACTTGGAGATAGACATGCAAATCATTTTGATGGTGTAACAACAATCATAATAAATGAGGAGCCAACATCGATGGGTCAGGGCTGGAAGATAGGAGCTAGTGCTTAACTTGAGACATAAAGGATGACCCGGAGGAGGCATTCAGTCAGAGGTGAGAGAATTTGGTAGGAGCATATGGCAAGTTCAGGGGGTTACAAAAAGTTGTGGGATGGGCCAGCGGATCAGGAACCAGATCTCTAGAGACCCTGCTCATCCTGCTGAGTGTGGGTTTCATCCTGAGGCATAGGAAAGCTTCTACAGAAGCCCGCCTTTACTCCACTATGTGAAATTGGTAGTAGTAGATAGTAGAAACCACATCTAATTTACAGGGGGAGTGGGGGAGGGAGATTTTCTCCTAGAGAGTCAAATTAACATTACTTATATAAAGGAGTTCCAGTATTGCTTGTTGAGTAGGAATCTATAATCTCCTAATATACATTTGTTTAGCAAATGCCCTGAGAGATGACATTATAACACACTCTATGATGTTTAAAATATTCTTCAATTCTTTCCCTCTTTCTAGTCAGCCTACAACACTGACAAGCAGTTAGCCTGAGAGACCTGTCGAAAAGGCTTACTGATTCTCAGTGACGAGCGGTGTTAGGGATTAGTGCGCATGCAACTACTTCTCTGCTGGGGAAGTTTACCTCCTGTGACAATGCGATCTTCACCCCATAAATTCAGTCTGCTGACCTGTTCCTTTACATTGCTTCCGATCATAGTTTCGGGAATTGTTTGGAAAGTGATAGTTACTACAAGAAAGGAAGTTTTAGGACTAAATACCTCCGTTTATGTTTCCTAATAAAGCCCGATGCCTGCAAAATTTTGTTGAATTATGTATTCCTTGAATGAAACGTCTGCATTTTGTCACTTTTGCACCTTTAAGTTTGCTTCAGAAGCCCCTCAGTGCCAATCCTTCCACAGGCCTGGGCCTTGCACCTGGTTACCCCCACCCCCCACCTCCCCCCCACTCCTATCTTCTCTGCATGTACCTACACCTTGACAAAGGTAGCATCTGGCATCTTGGCTCAGAGACAAAAGAGAAGATGAGAACAATGGTGATAAAGGTTTTTCTAATGCATCCTGTCCTTTTCCTTTCCACCTCCAACTGTGGAGTCTGAGAATGGAGAAGTCACTTTTTGGAGTGAATGTATGTAAAATGCTTTCTTGCTTTCAATGTGGTCCCTCATTTCAGAGCTCATTATTTTTTAAAACATATCTATATGTGGTTTGGTAATTTCATCTTCGTAGGCAACTTAAGTACAAGCCAAAAGGAGCATGGGGTGCTCCAAGTGTTTGATCTCCAGCTTTCATGTGGCTTCATTGCCTCTCCTTACACTAGTGTGAGATAAAAAGAAACCAGCTGTTTCCTTGTTAAAGATCAAGGTGCTTACGGTGGTGATTCAGGACACAACCATGATCACGGCAGAGGAGAGGCTGTGTAATGTTTTTCTATTAGGCACAGTATGTCAGATTTATGAGCTGTCAGAAAGGGTATTTCATTTCATGCCTATTTGTGATTTTTTTGTCGTCGTTTTTGATGTTGCCAGTTTTAAATTTCTGGCATTATCTTCAGTAAACGGAACGAGGCTGTTATTAGTGGTTCATTCCAGTGGTAAGAGAATAGCTAATATTTCAGATCCTTACTGTGTTCTGGCATTGTTCTTCACGAGTATCACCTCACTTTTTATCCTCACAATAATGCTGTGAGCCAGAAGGCGTTATCCCCATTTTACAGATGAGAAAACAGACACAAAGAGTTGAAGTATCTTGTCCTGGTGACATCACTCATAAACTTAGTGGTACTGAGATTTAAACCCAAGGAACCTGGCCAGGAGTAGGGTGAGGTAAGAGGGACCCAAAGCACAACATTTAAGAAAGTGCTCCCTCTTAGTCTCCTTTAGAGCAGAGTTCCAACCTGAGTGTAAGTGCCTCCTTAAATCATGTGCTCAGGACACTGCTGCTTTCTGCATCCTAGTCTCAGCCTTGCAGGTAACCTTACTTTGGAGCCTGCATACTGTTGATGCTCATCCATCCTGCCTCTCTGGTCCTCACCCTTACAGACTAGAGTCATCTTTCAATGGGGAAGTAGACCGAACAGCCTGAGAGAGTCTGTAGGTGCTGAAGAGACCAGCAGAGATAGAGGCCAAAGCAGTTTTTCTTCAGGATGTCCCCCTTGTTCTTAGCGGGGCTTTTTCTCTTACTATTTCCTCCCATTCTTCTCTTTCAAGGCTTTATCTCACCCCAACCTTCCCCAGTACAGAGAGGAAAAAACATACTCTTTATCTGAGTTGTAACTCTCTGCATCCCGTAGAGAAAGCATTGGAGCAGTGTCATGGAGTATAGTACACATTCAGTCAGGCCTGGCTGCTTGCAAATATCTTATTTCAGCTTGTCAAGTCCAGACAAACCCTCAAGTATATGTTGGGGTCAAAGATAATTCAAGGATACATATCCATTAGGAGTTTTGAGATCTTAGAACAGGATCTTGTGAAGGAAAGCCAATTTATCTTAAAGAAAAGGAAAGGGTAGGGGCTAGTCCTGGATCTCAGAGCGATAATGAAGAACTCTCCTCCCCCAAATATCCTGTCCTCTCGGTAAATAGCTTCTGCACTGGGTGTTCTGCATGGAACTGGACTTTGCCAGTTAGTTGATAAATGGCACAATAATCGGAATATCATTAGTACAAAGGGTTCCTTCTGCTCAAGTCCTGTACAAACCAAGACATAGGAGACCACTGACGGCCCTTGTTTAGTGGGAATTTATATGAGCTGACAATGTAGGAACTTTCTCTGGTACCTTCAGTGATGGACCACTCACTTCTTGACTCAACAGGCCCTGGGATAAACACCTATGAACTCTATAAACATCTGTGGAGGACCAGCACATGTGAGGCCATCGTTGAAATGAAGGAGGACCAGTATTATGATTTGATAGCTTCTTTAAACTTCTCAGCATCACAGTGGAAATTTACTGGTAGTTCCAGACAATCTTTTACCAATAAAGTCCCAACAAACTGGTTGAAGATAGCTTCTCCTCCCTTGTAGACATCATGCCAACAGAGCCATATGGAAAGGACCACACACGATTGATAAGTCACACAGTGCTAAGCTGAAGAAAGAACTAGGCTACAAGTGAACAGTACTGACCTCTTTAATCAGGTTCATAAACCTGGGTCCAAGGCGCCATGGCTTGTGGCGATGGCACTGTAGGGAGCTGACGGTCAGCTGGGAAGCCCGGTGGGAGGCGATAGCCACCATATACACAGCATCGTACATCAGAGCCGCGTCAGTCTGCGGAGGAAAACACACAGTTTCAATCTCACCTTTACTTACCTTCCTTTCCTTATGTAATCACTGCCTGCTTCCTTATCCCTTATATGTCTGATCTCAACAGACATTTATTCTCCAGCTGAACAGTTTTTATTCTCCAATAACTATTTCTCTCTAAAATAATACCTCATGCTCCAAAGTAAATTGGAATCATAGCTCTGCTTTGTTTTTAGATCTTGAAAAAACACATCTCAGATCAGCTACGAAAGACTTGATTCAGGGATCAAATATTTTTGGAGCATCTTCTATGTTAAGCAGGGTGTTAAATCCATTATATTGAGTTAAAAGCTACTAAAGCTTCATATTTCAATATCAGATTTTCTTTCCAGTATTTAATCTACATCTATTTATCAATCTCTTTATTTGTTTAGATTTGGTAGAAAGAAACTGCTGGAAGTAAAACTAACAGCTGATTTCCAGAAAAGTATACTTATGTTGGTCACTTCCCTTTACTAGAGTCACGAAGATTGTTAGTCACGGGATTAAATTCAACAGCAAATTTCGGGAAACCCTCTGAAGAACAGACATGTGTAAACTTCCTCAGAATATGGGTGTTCTTGTCATCATTTGCTTTCCTGATAGAGATTTAAGTAGCCATTCCATTCGGGGGCTGAGCATCTCATTCTTCCCTTCCTCATGAAACTTCTCTCATTTGTAAGATTTCACAAAAGACTTCTAGCGTTTTATAAACTATACTGCCCTATGGTTTTATTTACGAATAAGATCTTATAATATCTTCACATTTTACTTGAGGGTTTTTAGAGCAACTTCAAATATATTAGCTCATTTGAAGTTCTCAACAACCCCACAAAATAAGCAGAACAGATAGATAAAACTATTTGTTATGTAGGAAAACTGACCTCTACACAGTATATTGATTCGGCGTAAGTTATGTCGCCTGTAGAGCAGGAACAAGGGTTCCATTCCAAGATGAAAACAGAGTTCAGAGCTCATCCCCTTAGCTGCTATGTTATGGAGATCTGGACCTTTAGGGAATATGCTTTTTAAATATATTCGTATGTGTATTTACTAAGTGGCCAAGTGATTGATTTGATAGATAAGTATGAGGAGAGAAATTTCAATGATCTAATTTTTTTATAAATTTAAATTAGAAAGAATTTTGACTTCCTTTGTCAAGGCTGCCTCTGCACTGGGCTGAGTAAAAACATGGTTTAAAACTGTAGGCCTGATCAGCGCTTTTCAAATTCAAAGAAGAAAACCATTTATTCTGAAAGTATCCTTCCCCTTGTCATACTATGTTTTCTTAGAGGAGACGTTTACTATTTTATAGCACTATAAACTATCATTGAATTTCCTCCCCTTTTCAGTTTTATGCTGGAGGCCTGCTTCCCGAATAGCAACTCTCAAGTCATTTTAGGTAAATGTAAAAGAAATTGGCTTGTGTTTCAAATTTTATTTTTCCAAATGTGTGTATATTCACATTTTATTTACATTGAAATCCTGGATGAAACCACACTGCTCCATGCCCCTAAGAGAATCTTTTTACCACAATGTGGATCACGAAACAAGTATATTAAAAGTGGGCCTCTCTCAGATGCACAGTGTTTTGGTTATTACAATAATGTGCAAACAGGGTTAACTCAGATATTCAAACCCTGAACATGCCAAAGAAAGGACTGGCCTTTGACTGGCTCCTGGGGGATAATCTCTAACCCTTGGAACATTCTGCCTGATCATAGAATCTTTGTATCTCTGGGGTCTTGGGTAATGCCAGATAGTTGATGCTAACAGTGTGATTTATAGTGACATCACGATGTATAGTGACTGCCTATTTTTGTTCACCTGGGGCCTTGGGCTATGCTGTATCAGTTTGACCTATGGAATGGCTAGAGACTGAGTAGCTAAGGTTAGCCTACATGGGTACTTGATGCCTGTGTGACTGACCCCCAGTAAAATCCTTGGACCCCTAGGCTTGGGTGAGCTTCCCTGGTTGGCACCACCTTTTACATGTCACTGAGAGAATGAAGCACTGTCATCTCAACTCTCCTGGGGAAGGATGACTAGAAGCATGGTTTCTCCTGGACTGTGTCCTTGGTGACTTTTTCCGTTGGTAATTTTAATATGTATCCTTTTGCTGTAACTGTGAGTATCACAGCTTTTCTGACTTCTGTGGGTCCCTCTAGCAAATCATGAAACCTGGATGCAGTCTTGGAGACTCCCAGCAGAGACCAATAAGATGCTATGTCATCTTAGGAATGAGGGGTAACAACACAATATAGCTTTATAGAGTCCCCATTTTTTGCCTGCCTGGTATGTAATTGTTGTTGCAAAAAGCTAGAGTTGGAGGTGTCGAAGGGAGACATAGTCTTTGGAGAGCAAATGGGAAAATGTATAGATTTCTCATCTTTTCTCCAAATTCGGGAACGTTCACTAACCTGTTGCAGAGGGACAAGTTAGTTTTCTAGAAGGAAGTGCTTCCAAATGATGCCCTCCTCCCCCATGTCCTGAACCTCTTCTCTCGCTTGGTATTAACGGGTTCCTTTATTAAACTCCAAATGTGTCACCTCTAGCATAGAGCTAACAGTAATGTGCCACTTAGTACGAATTAGCTAGTTTCCCTCTTTCTGAGTTACGCCTCATTAAAGTGATGAGGATTTTAACAAGAGTGGGAGGACTGGCGTGTTGCCTAGGGGAGCCCCGCCAGAGAGCACAGGTTTGTGGGGCTGGCTGCTGCTGAAGGAGCCAAAGTGGGGGGAGAGGCAGGGAGTACCCTGAGCACTCTGGAAGGAGAGAAGAGCAACCCACAAGCAAACTGCGGTCTGGAAACGAGTTGGGGAAGGTGGCAAATACAGCACCATGGACTCGCGATATCTAGAAATTCAGTAATTAGAATGGCAGCTCCCCCAGGTTTTGCGAAGCCTGTCACAGAAGTTGGTATGTTGTGAGTCTCAATGAATATTTGTCAGCTTTTGAGAGAGACCAGGAATTGGGAAAAGATGATTATAGGTGGAGTTGGCAAATACACCTGGGTGATCCCACTGGTCATACAAGGTCACATAGGTCCCAGGTAAGGGACCATCTTGATCTACATGTTCACAAGGAATGTGTCTCTTGTAAACAAATGCATTCTGCCTCACTATTTCAGAATATCTTTTTTTTCTCCTTTAATTGACTACAATTTAGCAAAACAGCAGGTACAATTAAGTAAATTCAGTTTTATGTCCTAGAGGCTTACCTAATTTAATCTGTAGAGTAATGCTGTAAAGCATTATTACACAAATTTGCAGATGAGCAAACAGGATCAGAGAGGCTAAATAACTTACTCAGGTCATTTAGACATTCAGGGGATATAGCCAGGACTTAAAACTAGGTTTTCCTCATCTTGAAAGATCTTGCTTTTTCCACTGAATTCTACTGTCTGCTGTCTTTCATCACAGGAATAGCAGTGGACACTCGAGGTGGACACTCAAAGATGTCTTCTCTGTGGATCAGGATTATAGGAAGTGGTCACTTGTAAGATAAAGCTACTGACAGCTTCATATTTGAATGCATTTGAAGAACTGAGAAGGCAGACGACAGATTAACGTGTTGTTTTGATGACTCATGCAGTATTGAATCGTACACAATTTCGGTTCACAATTTGAGAACAGGCCACTTCATTACCCTAGCCTTTCCAAAAGCCAATAGATTGAATCAGCTCAAGTGCTGGGAAAAATTTAAATGTAGTGGAAAGTAATCAAACAGATTTTATAAAATCACCCTAAACTTCTAGAGTTAATTAACACTTTGCTTGATAAAATATTCTTTCTTTACTAATCTCAAGATGTTTTTAAAAAATTTCACTATTTTTGAACTCTATTGACTCATTAACAGGGTTCTTAACTCATTTTTAATCCTAGTATTAAAGTCAATATTTTTTCTTTAATTAAACCTATGGTTCTTAAGTCTGGAGACAAAATTTTTGGACTTGGATATGACTTCTTAATTTTAGATTTGGATATGTTATGACATATATAATAATATTCTTTGAAGATATTTTTAGTGCATGGAGTTTTAATAAACGCTTAATAGTTAACCATATTAAAGAGGAAAATAGATAAGTGGAAGGGAAGTAAAACATAGGTTTTCAATTTTGAAAAATCCTGTATCATATATTCATATGAGCATCTGCATATTTATGTGGGATACACAAAAATATGACTATAAAGGGCTGCAGGAAAATTCCCCTTGGAGACAGTGAGATAATGTGTATAATATTGGAAAGTGCAATTCTATTACAGTCAATGGCGTTACTTAAATTTTAATAGTGATTAGTCTATGGAAAATGTTTGAAATAATAATATTACTTTAGACTAATCTCTGTCTTCACTAATCATGCCTATTTCTTATTTATAGGGGATTGCTTTAAACATATAGGGAACTATTTCAGGGTTGTATGAATATTTTTTATTTAACATTTTGAGTCTTAGCAGAAGCTCAATTTGTATTCACTTACTTTAAGTAATTCCTTTATGAAATACGTATTTATTGAAAGCTTGCTTTGTGCCAAGCCTTTTCTAGTGCTGGAGATAAAACAGAGAACAAAAAGACAAAGTCTCTATCCTTATGGATTTTATATTCATGTAGGGGAAGATGCTGAACAAACAAATCAAAATATAACATATTGGGTCATAAGGGTTGAGAAGAAAAGGAGAGGCTACTGTATTATGTAACAGGTTCACAGAAGACCTCTTGGTGAAGTGGCATTTGAGCCAACTTGAATAGAGAAAGATTCTAGACCGTGGGGAGCAACAAATGCTAGAGATGCAAGAATGAATGAAACGCTGTACCTGATATATAGAGACCCAGTGGAACTGAAACTCCAGGGATTTTTATCTCTAAGATAGAGGAGAAAGAGTTTGAGTACAGAGGCAACTTCAGAACAAAGATTTGTCAGCACTGGGCCCAAGCGTGGGGACGTGGAGTGAGTTGTACTCTCTCTTTTTTATTTTTATTTTTTT